TAATAATATCATTGACCTCACCGTGTCTTGCATGCCATCCTTCTGTCCTTTGGCAGAGAAAGCCATGCCATCCGTACCAGTCGGCCTCTGCCTCGCAGCAAATACGCCTGTATTCGGTGTGGATTGGGGCAGCGAGGCGGAGAGCCACGACAATTCGGAGGGGCTGCGGTGTGAAACGGATGCCGGTTGCTGACATTGGGGTTGCTAATAGGAAATCACCTGCATGGGGAGCTGCTACAGCTCTAAGTCGGGCAGTGTCATGTGGTGTTGTCGCAGATTCTAGCAAAGTCGCAGCTTCTTGGTCGGCAATGGGGCGATCCCAGCTGGATTGCTTATGGGCTTCAGAAGGCGGTGGTTGGGGTGCTGGTCCTGGGAGAGAGACCCATTTGGTTGTGCAGTCTGTGAAGCTGGGATCATGTACCCCTGCCTGTTGAACTAGGTGCTCAGGAAGGATTTCCTTCACCAAGTTGTCAGACCCCACTGAAGAGGACAGGAACGCTGGTGCAGCAATTTGTGTTGCTGTGCGCACGCCAAGGCCCCCAAGTCTGACAGGAAGGGAGGGCTTGTTTCCACTGTGAGTCGCAGAGGGAAAGGTTGAGGGCTTTTTCTAGTGTTGATTTCAGCAAGCTGTCGTACTCTTCTAATTTAATGTTGTTGAAAGATGCCGAACATCTTAGAAAGTGGTCAGCCTGGGGAGGGACAAGCATCTGGTGATAAGGTAAAGTGCATCATGAGCATCGATGTCTTCAATCCTCTCGTTCATCCTCTTCAGGTCAGTGATCTTTTTACAAAGGACTTCGTCGATGGCATTCCTTCCAAGAGGAGCACCTAGGAGTGTGCTGTCCTCAAGGTTGGTTGTATGAATGTCAGGCAAAACAACCTTAATTTGCTCTATTATGTGCTGGTTGGTGGAGGTTATTTCGCACTTGGAAGGGTTCAGGGTGAGGCCTAGGCTTGCTCCTTGCTCCTGAATTAATATTATGTTGTCCAAGAGTGAGGCTGAGGAGCCGGCTAGAGTACCATTGTCCAAACACCAAATGTTGAGATCTCTGGACATGTTATCGGTGACTTCCTTGATGACTAGGCAGAAAAGAAAAGGAGCAAGGGGGTCACCCTGTTGGACACCTTTTTGTGATTCACTTTCATGTTCCCCAAAATGCAGAGTTAGATTCTTGCTGTAGCATGAGTTTACAAACGGGTAGAGGGAAGGAAAAAGGCGATGAACAGCACTGAGTAATGCATCCCTTCTAAAAAGATTGAAAGCATTTTTGAAGTCCAGCTTTATCAGGGCTTTTTCATCCGTAATGTTGGCGATGTAGGCTCTAGCTGCATGAGCCGCTGCCTCACACCCTTGGGGAATGCCAAACCTAAGTTGTTTTGGCTTCAGCATGTCGGCTGCTGCCTGACTAACTGCTCTAGCAGCAGCCTTAGCGACGAGACGCCGGAGTGAATTGCCCACAGCTATCGGTCTGATTCCTCCATCTTTTTTCCTCAGGGCACAGAGGGTAGCGCCAAAAAAGAGCGGCCGTATGGTCTCTGGTATGTTGCCAGCTAGACATGTGTTGGCGAATCTAGTTAGTTCCACCAGGAGGCCCTGTGCAATGACTCCCAGTGCAGGGTTGAGCATTTGTGTGATATGGTTGGGTCTTAGTCCTGTGAACCCACCTGCTGATCCTGGTGGGAAGGATAAAGCTGCTTTATGCACCAAGGACTCGAGCACACACAGGGATTCTGCTCTGGTGACACCGACTAGGGGAACACTGTCGTCACGAGGAGCTCTGGGTGGGTGTTTTTCCCTCAGGGCTTGTGCTGTATGGGCATCCCTGGTGGCAACTGTGTCTTCACTGGTGATGACTCTGATCGCCCCTATTGTGTTGCCTTCTTCTATTTTCTTGCTGACTGTTGCTCGGATTTTGGATGCCTCGGTTCTGCTGTTGATACCTTTCTTGTGGTGGGTGTTTTTGGCACGGGTGGGGAGGGGTGCCTGGTTGTCCTCTCTAGGAAAACTATTTATAGCCATAATGACTGAGGAAGCTAGTGATTTGTCTCTCCTTGCAGGGACAGCTAGGCATATGTTTCCAAACAGGAGAAGGTTGCGCCATGCTTGGATGGTTCCGGGGGAGACATTGACCTTTTTCAAGAGGCTGGATAGTTTGGTTGCTGCCTGGGGCCGGGCAGCTTTGGGGATGTGCTGTAAGTTTCCAACCGATGTTGCTTTGATGGATTCTAGTAGATTCTCAGTCGAAATGAAGCTGTTGGAGGTGTTTTCCCTGACTGCTGGAGTGGGGCCTTGATTGATACCCTCTTTGGGAAGGCGCTTCATACCCGGACAATCGGTTCCGTTGTGAGCATGCTTGCGCACATCTCCGTTACGCTTGAGTCTCCACACCTTGTCACACACTTGGCATGTGCGATTGATGGCTCCTCTTGGCTGAGAGAAGCCTGGCTGTCAGTCGTGACCTGCGACATCGGCGGGCGCTGGGTGGATGCTGGGCTGGCGCTGGGCGGACGTAGCATGAAGTGGTGGACACAAGGAGGTGGCGGTGTCCGTTGGGGTGGGGCAAGGGGTCGGGGGAGCTCGTGGGTTGGGTGACGGTACACACTAGCGATTATGGGGAGGGGGGGAAGGGGGTCAGAGGGGTGACACTAACACGTTTGTATAATTTCGTGATATATCACTGCACAATATAATCTGGTTCACTGTGGACTTGATGCACTTAAAACACGATACCTGTTTCCCGAGAGCCGAGGTATCTATTTTTCAGGGATATTTTCATAAACACTTACACACTGGTCACCCCCCTCGACTGACCGCACAACAACACCCCATCCCCCAACGCCCACCACTATAACCGAGGGAGCCACACGGGTCACCAAGGCGGACAGCCCGCCCATCATAACTTGTTATACTTCCCGTACGCTATATATAAATATATATATATATATAATATATATATATATATATATATATATATATATATATATATATATATATATATATATATATATATATATATATATATATATATATATATATATATATATATATATATATATATATATATATATACGGGAAGTATAACATATATATATATATATTAATCCAGTGTAATTGGCCTGTTATGTTGGACATTGTCTTCTGTGTTGGCATCGATATGTTCTTGTCTTGTCCTTACTCTCATGGTGGGTAGAGTAAATAGTTCCGTGATTTGGGTGTTCATGGTAGGTCGCTCTATTCTTATGTGAATTGCCTCAAGAATTTGTAATCTTCTTGAATCTTGGGTTTTGTCTATTATGCAAGTATTCTTGTTCAACATTTCTCTTGTTAGAGTAATGTCATGGGCTTGTCTCATGTGATTCCTAGGGGCACCAGATTGAAGATGGCATCTTGCCATCTTCAACTGGAGATTAATTAAGTAAGACAAGTAAAAGCTGTCACATTAAATAAAATTGTACACGTGTTTAACACGTGCTAAACCAAATGCAAAAGCTATACAACAAAATGTGACATTTAAAATGAGGAGGATTAGCCATTATTGCTAAACAAAATTTTTAAAAAATTAATAGCCCGAGAACAGACAAAAACAAGATTACTAACCTAATAAGCATGACTCCTCTAGATAATAGGTCATTCAATCTAATTTTAGCCAATAATGTAATTAAAATCAGCAATGTTGGCCATTACGATATGATTATGTTACTTTCTGAAAGCCATTACTGTACCTCAAACATGGCAATACCAAGTACAGTATCTGTTCACTGGTAGTGACAATAGAACTGATCAGAAAACAGTGAGAATGATTATGATAATGTTGTAAAAATCTTAAGGGCGTAATATTTAAGATGACTGATTGAGATCTGACCTAAATGTTTTTTTTTTGCTTGACAAACTTTTGCTGGGTGCAAAATGAATTTAGAAAGACATTTAATTGTTGTTGAAAGATAATACTGTAATGTATTAAGCTGCTTGAATTCTATACAACTGAGATGATCAAGAAATGGAGATAACAACATGCGTAACATTAGCATGAGTGAAGGGATAACCGTAACATTAGCATGAGTGAAGGGATAACCGTAACATTAGCATGAGTGAAGGGATAATTCTAAAAAAAATTATTTATATTATTACAAACAAATCACAATAATGTGATGCATCAAATGAACAAATCCACAAGGGAACCTACATCCGAGATTGAACTGGGTCATAGCTCAGTTGGTAAAAGCACGTCCGGGAGAATCTCATATGTAGGTTCGAATCCTCGTCACGGTCCTTGTGGATTTGTAGATTATTTTTTTACAAGGAATACAGTTCAGAACTAAGGTGAGGTGGAGGGAAAAAATATATACAGTATATTAAATTATAGTAGAGAGGACAGATAAATTAAGAGAGAAAGATCAGCAGACAACTGAAAATAAACACCATAAACTAGGACATGAACTCAAAACAACTTTTCATAAATCATAAACAGTGTGGGGAAAGGGTGCATGTGAAGAGCAAATGAGCTTATAAACAAGATAGTTAATCTAAATGCTTGTCAGCTGTTGCAACATTATTATTAACATCTTGATTTATGTCAGTATGACACATTGGTGGAATGTTTAGATAATATAAACTGTTTAAATGTTCAATGCATGGAAATGTATATTCATATTGAATAATGTGACTAAGTGAGAACCACCAAATATTTGTGGTTAAATGGGTTAAGAAAACATGAATGTAATGGCCAAATTTACAAACTACTGTATTACATTACAGTATGCATGAAAAAATACTGTACATTTAATCATTATAATGTAAAGATATGTCTATGTACAGTTTGTATTTTGACATTACTAAAATCGTGTATCTTATACAGCATCAGCCAGTGAGACTGTATGTAACTACAGTACCCTCCAGTTTTGAAACTTACAGTTTTCATAGAAATATCTATTCCACTCATTCATAAAATATTGTAATTAGACAATACTAAACATGAGGCTATATTCTCAATACACATGAAATTCGAAAAATCTGACAAGTAATTCCTTTATTTCTATAACAAGTCTATTGTATAACTCAACTACAGTATTTCATAATTAAGATGAACATAAAAAAAATTGCACAAACTGAATCGATCAGTTTGCAGTTTCACAAGCATCAATCCATTCATTGTAAACATCAACAGGTTCCGAGAGGTAGTTAATAGTACACTGGAAGTCTTCCAGACACACACGGCATGAAACTCTTCCAGCATGCCTTGGTTTATTCCTGAAAAAAATGGAGAAATTATACATGGTGCTGATACATCCAAAACATATGTGCAAGAATTTCCCCAAATGTCAGTGGCTATGAGGAATATCTCTCTGCTAAGTGCTCAGGAAATTTTGTAAACGTTTATAAAATATAAAATCAAATAATAAAGTATATAAATTGAAGTTGACCATAAATTTATTAATGAAAAATTCCTATTGGTAAGCAGTAAATATTACCTTCAACTGGAAGATACAAATACTATGCAGTACTTACATTTTAACTTCACATGACTTTTCGTGATTACAGAATGGACAATTAAATTGCGTATCCAGTGGTTCAATATTCTTCCTCTTTGGAGGTGGCTTTCTCTTTGACTTGCGACGACCCATGTCTGCTAGTCGACTATAATTTGGAAATCTGAAAAATATTTTGGTAAATTTAACTACTGTGTATAAATTTGACATTTATTTCTGGGAAAGCTCTTTATGGCTCCCTGAAGCAATCTCACTGAGAAGGCTCCCATCTACTAGGTTGCATCAGCTGTCACCCCCATCAGAAAAGCATTCATTGTCAGTGAACTACTGCTTCCATTGCCCTGACCAGTACAGACTACTGCTGGGTTCAAAGAGATCCAAGTTTCAAAACTGCCAAATGAACTCCCCCCAAACAATGTAAACAAACAACTGAATCTCTTGAAACCAGCATGAGCTCATTTACACTAACACTCAAGCCCACCTAAATAATTAAAACTAAATGGGTAAAACACCTGGAGAAAAACTATATAACAGACAGTATGATTTATGATCTGGAAAATCCTGAGAAACAAATTTACTTTGTTTCTATGATAGAGCCACAGAGGTTTTACAGGAAAGTGATGGATGGGTTGCTAATTTATATCTTCTGGTGTGATATCAACCCCAGATATTTACTTGAGGGCCATTAGTGATGGCTCTCGGGTAAAATAAATTTTAGTAAGGGAGCAGAGACTGAAACTGGATCTTGTTGTCTTGATTGCTGATTTTTGTCGAGCAATTAGGATAATTAAAGATAGTGGATCCCTGGGCACAAACACCATTGGTGAGATCTGGACGAGTTAATAATACAGTCACTAAGGTAGAGTGTGATACGTAGTACGTATCAGGGAAGGGGGGGGGGGATGACCTTGATATAAGCCTAACGTATGCGTTATACTTTATATCATTTATACTTTTTTTTTAGAGATTATACTTTAATCCCAATTACTATTAAATTATATAAGTGTGTAAGCAACTCTGGCTTCCTGTCCCCACAACACAATGAATTACAAAATTATCTGATTATGGAGCAAATTTATACAACTCAATGTACACAACCAAATAATGATGCCTCTGATGTCAACGGCGATTAGTATAGACGTATACATACAATACAATCTAAATTAAACATTTGCCAGCAAATGTTTATATTGCAGCCTAGTGGAGCCAAACCCGCCAGCAATTAATAAATATTTAACAATAAATATGTTAATATTTGTTTACCCGTAACGAAAACAGTAAATGGAGAACAAACCAAGAAGAACCCGAGAGTAAGAGCAGTGCAAGAAGACAGCAAGAGGAGGACACCCAGCGAGAACAAACCTTGCAGGTGGGTGCACGCAGCCTCCTCCTGGCGCCACTTGTAAACAATGACGGCCACCCAGCTGCCCGCTCTCCTGCGCTCCCCGCCACTCATCTCATTCACTACATGCTTATACTAATATTATAAGCACTACATGCTTATACTAATATAATAATAGTATTATTATACTAGTATTACTATAATAATAGTATTATTATACTATTATTAAGTATGATAATATTAATAAATATAATGATAGTGGACCAAAATTATAAAATAATTATAATTATGGTGGACAAATAAAATTTATATGTTTAAACTGCCTAGCTTATAGATAAAATTAAGTTTACATTTACCTGAATATGCCTATTATCTACCTATATGGCCTCGATAAGGGACAGGAAGCCGAGGGTTTATCAAAGGTTCCCCCTCGTCATTTACCTGAAGTTTTTTTTAACTAACCTTTGAGTTCTTAATTGTCATTAATACTTTGTAGCGAATAGATTATCCCATACACATTATTATATACTCGCTCCAAAGTCTAATGAGTGAAACAAAGCTCTCATTAGCATTAATTATAACTCAAACCTTTTCTATACTTATTACTTACGTAAACAGAAGTTTGTAAGTGACACTTGGCGAGCAATAGCGTGTTCTTAAGCGTCTGCTCTAAGCCCCACTTTAACGTAGACTGATAATTACTCACCTCTCTAGCGCTGCTTATATGCATACACCACCTCACCGTCCTCCAAAGGTTGGAAGAAATTTTAACTGCAGGAAGAAAAAAAGGTTTGAGTTCCGTAGTTAGTGCTAATGAGAGCTTTGGTTCTCTCATTAGAGTAATGAGTTTGGAGCAAGTATATTATTTCGATAATCTACTCGCTACAGATAATCCCAAAAGCTATAGCTGGTTCCACAGATCTTCATTAAAGAAAGAAAATTATTTAGAAATTTACAGATTGATAAATGATGGGAAAGTTCCCTTACCTTTATCAGGAAGACGTACCTTTATCAGGAAGACGATGGTTGGCAAGGAGCGGTAGTGTTATTAGATACACACAGAAATCACAATAACGTGATACATCAAATGAACAAATCCACAAGGGCCGTGATGAGGGTTCGAACCTACGTCCAGGATGATCCCAGACGCGCGAGACAGAACGCGAAACAATGGGTATAATTTGGATAGGTTTTGGATTTAGGAAAGACATGGGTAAATAATGGTTTGGTAACAGGATTGTTGACTTGTGGAACCAGTTCCCGCGTGTCTTGGTGGAGGTGGAGTCCCTCGATTGTTTCAAGCGTGGATTGGACATGTATATGCTTTGGTTTGGTTGATTAATTGTCATGATAGAGTTACAAGATACGAGCTAGATGGTGTTGAGATTGCGAAGTCGGATTGCGAAAGGGATCTGGGAGTTATGATTAGTAAGAATTTAAAACAAAAGGATCAATGCATGAATGTTCGTAATAAGGCGAATAGGACACTGGGATTTATTAATCGAAGCGTTAGTAACAAGACACCTGGTGTGGTTCTTAAGCTATATCTTGCTCTGGTTAGGCCCCATTTAGATTATGCAGTTCAGTTTTGGTCGCCGTATTATAGAATGGATATAAATTCACTTGAACGTGTCCAACGTAGGATGACTAAGTTAATTCCCCAAATTAGAAATCTTTCATATAAAGAAAGATTAACAAAGCTTAAGTTGCATTCACTGGAAAGGCGAAGAGTTAGGGGTGACATGATAGAGGTTTACAAGTGGATGAATGGACATAACAGGGGGGATATTAATAGGGTATTAAAAATATCAACACAAGACAGAACACGAAACAATGGTTATAAATTGGATAAATTTAGATTTAGGAAAGACTTGGGTAAATACTGGTTCAGTAACAGGGTTGTTGATTTGTGGAACCAATTGCCGCGTAACGTGGTGGAGGTGGGGTCCCTCGATTGTTTCAAGCGCAGGTTGGACAAGTATATGAGTGGGATTGGGTGGTTATAGATAAGAGCTGCCTCGTATGGGCCAATAGGCCTTCTGCGGTTACCTTTATTCTTATGTTCCTTTATCTGCCCCTGGAGAAAGTTGACTTTGGTTACGAATTTTCAACACTTCTGGTAATTAACAGACAAAACAATTTTATAACCCAGGAAAAGTTTCAAAATATTCAAGAAAGATGGCATGTTTTTTTTTTTTAGTGAAAGCTTGCAAAAAGCTTCTTTCTGGTATTCTAAGTAATGCTGAAATTTTCAAAAAGGTGAAAATTCTTTCACCTATCATATGCCTTAGCCACACACAGCCACCATTTTCAGATCATCCATTAGTACTAGCTGGCCAATCTAAGCTTAGTGTATTAAAAGTACTTAGAGGGTATTAAAAGGATCAACACAAAACAATGGGTATAAATTGGATAAGTTTAGATTTAGGAAAGACAATGGGGTATAAGTGGAACCAATTGGATAGTCCCTCGATTGTTTCAAGATTTAGGAAAGACTTAGGTAAATACCGGTTCGGTATTCTAAGTAATGCTGAGGGAAAATTGTTAGATTTTCAGATCATCCATTAGTACTAGAAAGCTTAGTGTGTTAAAAGTACTTAGAGGGTTACCGCTTAGGTAAATACGTGGTGGAGGTTGAACGTCCCTCGATTGTTTCAAGCGTGGGTTGGACATGTTTATGAGTGGGATTGGGTGGCTATAGATAGGAGCTGCCTCGTATGGGCCAATAGGCCTTCTGCAGTTACCTTTATTCTTATGTTCTTATGTTCTTAGCACGGGCTATGGTTAGCCCATAGTGGACTTACTGTGGGAAGTATATATATGTAGGAAGATTAACAAATCTTAAATTGCATTCACTGGAAAGGCGAAGAGTTAAAAGTATTAACACAAGACAGAACACGAAACAATGGGTATAAATTGGATAAGTTTAGATTTAGGAAAGACTTGGGTAAATACTGGTTCAGTAACAGGGTTGTTGATTTGTGGAACCAATTGCCGCGTAACATTGTGGAGGTGGGGTCCCTCGATTGTTTCAAGCATGGGTTGACATGTATATGAGTGGGATTGGATGGTTATAGATAGGAGCTGCCTCGTATGGGCCAATAAGCCTTCTGCAGTTACCTTTGTTCTTATATTCTTATAACATTCCATCATACTTTATAACATTAGAACATAAGCTCTCTTCTTATACTTTATCATACATTCTTCATTATTTTGAAGAATGTATGATAATGTATGTACGTATGTACGAATGTATGTACGTATTGGCCCATACGAGGCAGCTCCTATCTATAACCACCCAATCTCACTCATATACTTGTCCAGCCCGCGCTTGAAACAATCGAGGGACCCCACCTCCACCACGTTACGCGGTAATTGGTTCCACAAATCATCAACCCTGTTACCGAACCAGTATTTACCCACGTCTTTCCTATATCTAAACTTATCCAATTTATACCCATTGTTTCGTGTTCTGTCTTGTGTTGATACTTTTAATACCCTATTAATATCCCCTTTGTTATGTCCTATGTTATAAGGACGTTATTGTTATGTCCTATGTTATGTTCTTATCCCTTTGAGATGTATTTTTTTTCTTGTCTCAATAAACATACTTGAACTTGAACTTTCTAGAGCACCAATGCTATGAACTCTCACAAACCCAATGTACCTTCTAGCATGTAAGTAAATAAATGAATGAATAAATAAATAAATAAATAATTAAATAAATAAATAAATAAATTAAGAACAAATTAGCCATCCTCTTTTACATTATTTGATTAGTATTTCATCTGTCATATTGGTTGTATATATTTGTAACCCGCTGAGGCATGCAAACATAGTGAAATTCCGGCCGTGTTGAGAGTGACACAGGCATGTGTGCAATTCAGTATCATTGCGTTATCATTCTTATCATCCATGCAGGTTAACGGAGGGTTGGGAAGCCTCCTCATTCACACACACACATCCGCAAGCCGCAAGAATAGTTAGGTCACTCAGCCAATCGTGATCATTATAATTGGTTTGAATATTGGGAAATACTTTTACAACCAATTCTTCTTTTGACGTCAGTATAGTGCCGAAGTTATGAGGCAATGAAATTCGTCCTGAGGTCAGATCAACCGGCACGTTTCCGTTCTCAATTTCCAGAAATTGATGTGAGAATATTTCAGCTGATTGATCGTTTTGCTGCTAGACACGCATATTTGGAGTTAATTTTAACGTCTTTACGTGGCGCCACAAAGTATAGCATTTCAGGCAAGCATTTATTTCGTCTGCTGGTGTCGATCGAGGAATTGCAGGGAATGTTTGCCTGAAATCTCCTGCAAGCAATATTAATGCATTCCCAAATAGTCTGATATTTCCACGCAAATCTTGCAATGATCGATCAGGAGCCTCGAACGATTTTTTGTAGTCCTTTGTGCATTTTTTCCGAAACAATAAGTTTGCATTTCTGCAATACTTTTCCCATACCAGATGCTTTGGAAATGTTGCACGTGGGAGTTTCAATGATTATCATGTTCAATGTCAATTTCAAAGCCGAATGAGAAATTTATCCACCTGGTAGCAATATCGCAGCTATTCCGGAGGAAAAGAGCTGAGGCTATGCCATTTTGGAATCAAATTGCTGCCACAATCAATCTAATTAGGAAGGTTTTACCAATTCCTACTGGTGCATCTAGGAAAAAGATTTCTCCTATCCCATTATTGACAGTTTGAATTATTTGATCGTAAATACTTTTTTGCTCAAGCGTTAGCTTAGGAATATTTGATTGCGCATACGACAACATATCACCCGAGTTGTAATTTTGTTCACGACGAAATTCTACAACGAACGAAGCAGCAGCAGATCGATTCGGTGATAGCATTCCCAACTGAATGAGAACTTTGTTCGCGAATTCTAAACACAAATCTTCAATCATTATCAACGCTTCTTTGTAGATTTCTGCTGTGAAATCCATGTTCATATTTGAATTTTCCTTGCCTATTCGACGGACAATATCTGTAGCCGTGTGTGATTTATTTTCCAAAACTCAAAATTTTGAGTTTTGGAAAATATTTTCCAAAAAACTATTTTCCAACTCCAACAAAAACTTTGTTGGAGACAAAGAGCAGGCGGCCATTGTGATTGCAAACAATGAACGAATTTGATTTGGACGTGACGTGTTTCAGGCGTCATTAATGCATACATCCCAGTTTCTGTCGTTCTCCAATAAATTCAGAGCTTGACATGCACTACGGAAAGTGGCATAAGTTATGCCGTTGACAAATCTCAATGACTGTAAAGACGTTAGACAGGGCACATTTACCAACAGCATGCGAAGAAAGTAGCATTCATCAAAACAACACAGCTCAATTCCAACCCAATTCACACAAAATAATTTAATCAAAATGAAAATAAATAAAAATCTATGAAAATTAAATTTATCAGTACAATCAGAAACAATGAAATTGAATTGTAACAGCCCTGGTTTAGGGCTTCTATCCCTCTAACTATTTTCTTAGCATCAGGGCTTAATTGAAATAGGAGTTCTCCAAAACTCATTTTCGTACTTTTAAGGCGAAGAAAAGAAGTGATTTACTATAGAGTGTATTACACTTATTTATATAATTTGCACGACGTTTCGAACCTCCATGGTTCATTCTCAAGTGAACAGATCTTACAATACTAGTTGATTTTATACCCGCACTGGGTCAGGTGATAATACAATGAAGGTGAAAACATGGGGGGATACATAAGGGATAAAAATGTGAGGTGAAACATAGAGGCTGCAGAAGGCTTATTGGCCCATACGAGGCATCTCCTATCTAAACAAAGATTAATCCAGTGTATACATATATATATATATATATATATATATATATATATATATATATATATATATATATATATATATATATATATATATATATATATATATATATATATATATATATATATATATATATATATATATGCAAACAAGCCTGAATGGTCCCCAGGACTATATACAACTGAAAACTCACACCCCAGAAGTGACTCGAACCCATACTCCCACAACTGGTATGTACAGGGACGCCTTAATCAATTGATTAAGGCGTCCCTGTACATACCAGTTGTGGGAGTATGGGTTCGAGTCACTTCTGGGGTGTGAGTTTTCAGTTATATATATATATATATATATATATATATATATATATATATATATATATATATATATATATATATATATATATATATATATATATATATATATATATATATATATATATATATATATATATATATATATATATATATATATATATATATATATATATTCATATATATATATATTCATCTGAAAACTCACACCCCAGAAGTGACTCGAACCCATACTCCCAGAAGCAACGCAACTGGTATGTACAAGACGCCTTAATCCACTTGACCATCACGACCGGACATAATGAGGTGATAGCCTAAGCTATTTGAACCACCCCACCGCCGGCACTCGGATAGTAATCTTGGGCATAGCATTTTACCAAATCACCTCATTCTTTGGGGCACACGTGAGGAACACAAATGCGAACAAGCCTGAATGGTCCCCAGGACAATATGCAACTGAAAACTCACACCCCAAAAGTGACTCGAACCCATACTCCCAGAAGCAACGCAACTGGTATGTACAAGACGCCTTAATCCACTTGACCATCACGACCGGACATAATGAGGTGATAGCCTAAGCTATTTGAACCACCCCACCGCCGGCACTCGGATAGTAATCTTGGGCATAGCATTTTACCAAATCACCTCATTCTTTGGGGCACACGTGAGGAACACAAATGCGAACAAGCCTGAATGGTCCCCAGGACAATATGCAACTGAAAACTCACACCCCAGAAGTGACTCGAACCCATACTCCCAGAAGCAACGCAACTGGTATGTACAAGACGCCTTAATCCACTTGACCATCACGACCAGACATAATGAGGTGATAGCCTAAGCTATTTGAACCACCCCACCGCCGGCACTCGGATAGTAATCTTGGGCATAGCATTTTACCAAATCACCTCATTCTTTGGGGCACACGTGAGGAACACAAATGCGAACAAGCTTGAATGGTCCCCAGGACAATATGCAACTGAAAACTCACACCCCAGAAGTGACTCGAACCCATACTCCCAGAAGCAACGCAACTGGTATGTACAAGACTATATATATATATATATATATATATATATATATATATATATATATATATAGGAAGGCGCTTCCTATATATATATATATATATATATATATATATATATATTAATCCAGTGTAATTGGCCTGTTATGTTGGACATTGTCTTCTGTGTTGGCATCGATATGTTCTTGTCTTGTCCTTACTCTCATGGTGGGTAGAGTAAATAGTTCCGTGATTTGGGTGTTCATGGTAGGTCGCTCTATTCTTATGTGAATTGCCTCAAGAATTTGTAATCTTCTTGAATCTTGGGTTTTGTCTATTATGCAAGTATTCTTGTTCAACATTTCTCTTGTTAGAGTAATGTCATGGGCTTGTCTCATGTGATTCCTAGGGGCACCAGATTGAAGATGGCATCTTGCCATCTTCAACTGGAGATTAATTAAGTAAGACAAGTAAAAGCTGTCACATTAAATAAAATTGTACACGTGTTTAACACGTGCTAAACCAAATGCAAAAGCTATACAACAAAATGTGACATATTAAAATGAGGAGGATTAGCCATTATTGCTAAACAAAATTTTTAAAAAATTAATAGCCCGAGAACAGACAAAAACAAGATTACTAACCTAATAAGCATGACTCCTCTAGATAATAGGTCATTCAATCTAATTTTAGCCAATAATGTAATTAAAATCAGCAATGTTGGCCATTACGATATGATTATGTTACTTTCTGAAAGCCATTACTGTACCTCAAACATGGCAATACCAAGTACAGTATCTGTTCACTGGTAGTGACAATAGAACTGATCAGAAAACAGTGAGAATGATTATGATAATGTTGTAAAAATCTTAAGGGCGTAAGATTTAAGATGACTGATTGAGATCTGACCTAAATGTTTTTTTTTTGCTTGACAAACTTTTGCTGGGTGCAAAATGAATTTAGAAAGACAAATAATTGTTGTTGAAAGATAATACTGTAATGTATTAAGCTGCTTGAATTCTATACAACTGAGATGATCAAGAAATGGAGATAACAACATGCGTAACATTAGCATGAGTGAAGGGATAACCGTAACATTAGCATGAGTGAAGGGATAACCGTTCTAAAAAAAAAAAAAATTATTTATATTATTACAAACAAATCACAATAATGTGATGCATCAAATGAACAAATCCACAAGGGAACCTACATCCGAGATTGAACTGGGTCATAGCTCAGTTGGTAAAAGCACGTCTGGGAGAATCTCAAATGTAGGTTCGAATCCTCGTCACGGTCCTTGTGGATTTGTAGATTATTTTTTTACAAGGAATACAGTTCAGAACTAAGGTGAGGTGGAGGGAAAAAATATATACAGTATATTAAATTATAGTAGAGAGGACAGATAAATTAAGAGAGAAAGATCAGCAGACAACTGAAAATAAACACCATAAACTAGGACATGAACTCAAAACAACTTTTCATAAATCATAAACAGTGTGGGGAAAGGGTGCATGTGAAGAGCAAATGAGCTTATAAACAAGATAGTTAATCTAAATGCTTGTCAGCTGTTGCAACATTATTATTAACATCTTGTCAGTATGTCAGTATGACACATTGGTGGAATGTTTAGATAATATAAACTGTTTAAATGTTCAATGCATGGAAATGTATATTCATATTGAATAATGTGACTAAGTGAGAACCACCAAATATTTGTGGTTAAATGGGTTAAGAAAACATGAATGTAATGGCCAAATTTACAAACTACTGTATTACATTACAGTATGCATGAAAAAATACTGTACATTTAATCATTATAATGTAAAGATATGTCTATGTACAGTTTGTATTTTGACATTACTAAAATCGTGTATCTTATACAGCATCAGCCAGTGAGACTGTATGTAACTACAGTACCCTCCAGTTTTGAAACTTACAGTTTTCATAGAAATATCTATTCCACTCATTCATAAAATATTGTAATTAGACAATACTAAACATGAGGCTATATTCTCAATACACATGAAATTCGAAAAATCTGACAAGTAATTCCTTTATTTCTATAACAAGTCTATTGTATAACTCAACTACAGTATTTCATAATTAAGATGAACATAAAAAAAATTGCACAAACTGAATCGATCAGTTTGCAGTTTCACAAGCATCAATCCATTCATTGTAAACATCAACAGGTTCCGAGAGGTAGTTAATAGTACACTGGAAGTCTTCCAGACACACACGGCATGAAACTCTTCCAGCATGCCTTGGTTTATTCCTGAAAAAAATGGAGAAATTATACATGGTGCTGATACATCCAAAACATATGTGCAAGAATTTCCCCAAATGTCAGTGGCTATGAGGAATATCTCTCTGCTAAGTGCTCAGGAAATTTTGTAAACGTTTATAAAATATAAAATCAAATAATAAAGTATATAAATTGAAGTTGACCATAAATTTATTAATGAAAAATTCCTATTGGTAAGCAGTAAATATTACCTTCAACTGGAAGATACAAATACTATGCAGTACTTACATTTTAACTTCACATGACTTTTCGTGATTACAGAATGGACAATTAAATTGCGTATCCAGTGGTTCAATATTCTTCCTCTTTGGAGGTGGCTTTCTCTTTGACTTGCGACGACCCATGTCTGCTAGTCGACTATAATTTGGAAATCTGAAAAATATTTTGGTAAATTTAACTACTGTGTATAAATTTGACATTTATTTCTGGGAAAGCTCTTTATGGCTCCCTGAAGCAATCTCACTGAGAAGGCTCCCATCTACTAGGTTGCATCAGCTGTCACCCCCATCAGAAAAGCATTCATTGTCAGTGAACTACTGCTTCCATTGCCCTGACCAGTACAGACTACTGCTGGGTTCAAAGAGATCCAAGTTTCAAAACTGCCAAATGAACTCCCCCCAAACAATGTAAACAAACAACTGAATCTCTTGAAACCAGCATGAGCTCATTTACACTAACACTCAAGCCCACCTAAATAATTAAAACTAAATGGGTAAAACACCTGGAGAAAAACTATATAACAGACAGTATGATTTATGATCTGGAAAATCCTGAGAAACAAATTTACTTTGTTTCTATGATAGAGCCACAGAGGTTTTACAGGAAAGTGATGGATGGGTTGCTAATTTATATCTTCTGGTGTGATATCAACCCCAGATATTTACCTGAGGGCCATTAGTGATGGCTCTCGGGTAAAATAAATTTTAGTAAGGGAGCAGAGACTGAAACTGGATCTTGTTGTCTTGATTGCTGATTTTTGTCGAGCAATTAGGATAATTAAAGATAGTGGATCCCTGGACACAAACACCATTGGTGAGATCTGGACGAGTTAATAATACAGTCACTAAGGTAGAGTGTGATACGTAGTACGTATCAGGGAAGGGGGGGGGATGACCTTGATATAAGCCTAACGTATGCGTTATACTTTATATCATTTATACTTTTTTTTTAGAGATTATACTTTAATCCCAATTACTATTAAATTATATAAGTGTGTAAGCAACTCTGGCTTCCTGTCCCCACAACACAATGAATTACAAAATTATCTGATTATGGAGCAAATTTATACAACTCAATGTACACAATCAAATAATGATGCCTCTGATGTCAACGGCGATTAGTATAGACGTATACATACAATACAATCTAAATTAAACATTTGCCAGCAAATGTTTATATTGCAGCCTAGTGGAGCCAAACCCGCCAGCAATTAATAAATATTTAACAATAAATATGTTAATATTTGTTTACCCGTAACGAAAACAGTAAATGGAGAACAAACCAAGAAGAACCCGAGAGTAAGAGCAGTGCAAGAAGACAGCAAGAGGAGGACACCCAGCGAGAACAAACCTTGCAGGTGGGTGCACGCAGCCTCCTCCTGGCGCCACTTGTAAACAATGACGGCCACCCAGCTGCTCGCTCTCCTGCGCTCCCCGCCACTCATCTCATTCACTACATGCTTATACTAATATTATAAGCACTACATGCTTATACTAATATAATAATAGTATTATTATACTAGTATTACTATAATAATAGTATTATTATACTAGTATTACTATAATAATAGTATTATTATACTATTATTAAGTATGATAATATTAATAAATATAATGATAGTGGACCAAAATTATAAAATAATTATAATTATGGTGGACAAATAAAATTTATATGTTTAAACTGCCTAGCTTATAGATAAAATTAAGTTTACATTTACCTGAATATGCCTATTATCTACCTATATGGCCTCGATAAGGGACAGGAAGCCGAGGGTTTATCAAAGGTTCCCCCTCGTCATTTACCTGAAGTTTTTTTTAACTAACCTTTGAGTTCTTAATTGTCATTAATACTTTGTAGCGAATAGATTATCCCATACACATTATTATATACTCGCTCCAAAGTCTAATGAGTGAAACAAAGCTCTCATTAGCATTAATTATAACTCAAACCTTTTCTATACTTATTACTTACGTAAACAGAAGTTTGTAAGTGACACTTGGCGAGCAATAGCGTGTTCTTAAGCGTCTGCTCTAAGCCCCACTTTAACGTAGACTGATAATTACTCACCTCTCTAGCGCTGCTTATATGCATACACCACCTCACCGTCCTCCAAAGGTTGGAAGAAATTTTAACTGCAGGAAGAAAAAAAGGTTTGAGTTCCGTAGTTAGTGCTAATGAGAGCTTTGGTTCTCTCATTAGAGTAATGAGTTTGGAGCAAGTATATTATTTCGATAATCTACTCGCTACAGATAATCCCAAAAGCTATAGCTGGTTCCACAGATCTTCATTAAAGAAAGAAAATTATTTAGAAATTTACAGATTGATAAATGATGGGAAAGTTCCCTTACCTTTATCAGGAAGACGTACCTTTATCAGGAAGACGATGGTTGGCAAGGAGCGGTAGTGTTATTAGATACACACAGAAATCACAATAACGTGATACATCAAATGAACAAATCCACAAGGGCCGTGATGAGGGTTCGAACCTACGTCCAGGATGATCCCAGACGCGCGAGACAGAACGCGAAACAATGGGTATAATTTGGATAGGTTTTGGATTTAGGAAAGACATGGGTAAATAATGGTTTGGTAACAGGATTGTTGACTTGTGGAACCAGTTCCCGCGTGTCTTGGTGGAGGTGGAGTCCCTCGATTGTTTCAAGCGTGGATTGGACATGTATATGCTTTGGTTTGGTTGATTAATTGTCATGATAGAGTTACAAGATACGAGCTAGATGGTGTTGAGATTGCGAAGTCGGATTGCGAAAGGGATCTGGGAGTTATGATTAGTAAGAATTTAAAACAAAAGGATCAATGCATGAATGTTCGTAATAAGGCGAATAGGACACTGGGATTTATTAATCGAAGCGTTAGTAACAAGACACCTGGTGTGGTTCTTAAGCTATATCTTGCTCTGGTTAGGCCCCATTTAGATTATGCAGTTCAGTTTTGGTCGCCGTATTATAGAATGGATATAAATTCACTTGAACGTGTCCAACGTAGGATGACTAAGTTAATTCCCCAAATTAGAAATCTTTCATATAAAGAAAGATTAACAAAGCTTAAGTTGCATTCACTGGAAAGGCGAAGAGTTAGGGGTGACATGATAGAGGTTTACAAGTGGATGAATGGACATAACAGGGGGGATATTAATAGGGTATTAAAAATATCAACACAAGACAGAACACGAAACAATGGTTATAAATTGGATAAATTTAGATTTAGGAAAGACTTGGGTAAATACTGGTTCAGTAACAGGGTTGTTGATTTGTGGAACCAATTGCCGCGTAACGTGGTGGAGGTGGGGTCCCTCGATTGTTTCAAGCGCAGGTTGGACAAGTATATGAGTGGGATTGGGTGGTTATAGATAAGAGCTGCCTCGTATGGGCCAATAGGCCTTCTGCGGTTACCTTTATTCTTATGTTCCTTTATCTGCCCCTGGAGAAAGTTGACTTTGGTTACGAATTTTCAACACTTCTGGTAATTAACAGACAAAACAATTTTATAACCCAGGAAAAGTTTCAAAATATTCAAGAAAGATGGCATGTTTTTTTTTTTTAGTGAAAGCTTGCAAAAAGCTTCTTTCTGGTATTCTAAGTAATGCTGAAATTTTCAAAAAGGTGAAAATTCTTTCACCTATCATATGCCTTAGCCACACACAGCCACCATTTTCAGATCATCCATTAGTACTAGCTGGCCAATCTAAGCTTAGTGTATTAAAAGTACTTAGAGGGTATTAAAAGGATCAACACAAAACAATGGGTATAAATTGGATAAGTTTAGATTTAGGAAAGACTTAGGTAAATACCGGTTCGGTAACAGGGTTGTTGATTAGTGGAACCAATTACCGCGTAACGTGGTGGAGGTTGAGTCCCTCGATTGTTTCAAGCGTGGGTTGGACATGTTTATGAGTGGGATTGGGTGGCTATAGATAGGAGCTGCCTCGTATGGGCCAATAGGCCTTCTGCAGTTACCTTTATTCTTATGTTCTTAGCACGGGCTATGGTTAGCCCATAGTGGACTTACTGTGGGAAGTATATATATGTAGGAAGATTAACAAATCTTAAATTGCATTCACTGGAAAGGCGAAGAGTTAAAAGTATCAACACAAGACAGAACACGAAACAATGGGTATAAATTGGATAAGTTTAGATTTAGGAAAGACTTGGGTAAATACTGGTTCAGTAACAGGGTTGTTGATTTGTGGAACCAATTGCCGCGTAACATTGTGGAGGTGGGGTCCCTCGATTGTTTCAAGCATGGGTTGGACATGTATATGAGTGGGATTGGGTGGTTATAGATAGGAGCTGCCTCGTATGGGCCAATAAGCCTTCTGCAGTTACCTTTGTTCTTATATTCTTATAACATTCCATCATACTTTATAACATTAGAACATAAGCTCTCTTCTTATACTTTATCATACATTCTTCATTATTTTGAAGAATGTATGATAATGTATGTACGTATGTACGAATGTATGTACGTATTGGCCCATACGAGGCAGCTCCTATCTATAACCACCCAATCTCACTCATATACTTGTCCAGCCCGCGCTTGAAACAATCGAGGGACCCCACCTCCACCACGTTACGCGGTAATTGGTTCCACAAATCATCAACCCTGTTACCGAACCAGTATTTACCCACGTCTTTCCTATATCTAAACTTATCCAATTTATACCCATTGTTTCGTGTTCTGTCTTGTGTTGATACTTTTAATACCCTATTAATATCCCCTTTGTTATGTCCTATGTTATAAGGACGTTATTGTTATGTCCTATGTTATGTTCTTATCCCTTTGAGATGTATTTTTTTTCTTGTCTCAATAAACATACTTGAACTTGAACTTTCTAGAGCACCAATGCTATGAACTCTCACAAACCCAATGTACCTTCTAGCATGTAAGTAAATAAATGAATGAATAAATAAATAAATAAATAATTAAATAAATAAATAAATTAATTAAGAACAAATTAGCCATCCTCTTTTACATTATTTGATTAGTATTTCATCTGTCATATTGGTTGTATATATTTGTAACCCGCTGAGGCATGCAAACATAGTGAAATTCCGGCCGTGTTGAGAGTGACACAGGCATGTGTGCAATTCAGTATCATTGCGTTATCATTCTTATCATCCATGCAGGTTAACGGAGGGTTGGGAAGCCTCCTCATTCACACACACACATCCGCAAGCCGCAAGAATAGTTAGGTCACTCAGCCAATCGTGATCATTATAATTGGTTTGAATATTGGGAAATACTTTTACAACCAATTCTTCTTTTGACGTCAGTATAGTGCCGAAGTTATGAGGCAATGAAATTCGTCCTGAGGTCAGATCAACCGGCACGTTTCCGTTCTCAATTTCCAGAAATTGATGTGAGAATATTTCAGCTGATTGATCGTTTTGCTGCTAGACACGCATATTTGGAGTTAATTTTAACGTCTTTACGTGGCGCCACAAAGTATAGCATTTCAGGCAAGCATTTATTTCGTCTGCTGGTGTCGATCGAGGAATTGCAGGGAATGTTTGCCTGAAATCTCCTGCAAGCAATATTAATGCATTCCCAAATAGTCTGATATTTCCACGCAAATCTTGCAATGATCGATCAGGAGCCTCGAACGATTTTTTGTAGTCCTTTGTGCATTTTTTCCGAAACAATAAGTTTGCATTTCTGCAATACTTTTCCCATACCAGATGCTTTGGAAATGTTGCACGTGGGAGTTTCAATGATTATCATGTTCAATGTCAATTTCAAAGCCGAATGAGAAATTTATCCACCTGGTAGCAATATCGCAGCTATTCCGGAGGAAAAGAGCTGAGGCTATGCCATTTTGGAATCAAATTGCTGCCACAATCAATCTAATTAGGAAGGTTTTACCAATTCCTACTGGTGCATCTAGGAAAAAGATTTCTCCTATCCCATTATTGACAGTTTGAATTATTTGATCGTAAATACTTTTTTGCTCAAGCGTTAGCTTAGGAATATTTGATTGCGCATACGACAACATATCACCCGAGTTGTAATTTTGTTCACGACGAAATTCTACAACGAACGAAGCAGCAGCAGATCGATTCGGTGATGGCATTCCCAACTGAATGAGAACTTTGTTCGCGAATTCTAAACACAAATCTTCAATCATTATCAACGCTTCTTTGTAGATTTCTGCTGTGAAATCCATGTTCATATTTGAATTTTCCTTGCCTATTCGACGGACAATATCTGTAGCCGTGTGTGATTTATTTAAACTCAAAAATATATAAACTCAAAATTTTGAGTTTTGGAAAATATTTTCCAAAAAACTATTTTCCAACTCCAACAAAAACTTTGTTGGAGACAAAGAGCAGGCGGTCATTGTGATTGCAAACAATGAACG